TCTCCCTCTCCCTCTCCCTCTCCCTCTCCCTCTCCCTCTCCCTCTCCTTCCCCCTTCCCCTCCCCCTCTCCCTCTTCCCCTTCCCCTCTCCCTCTTCCCCTCTCCCTCTTCCCCTCCCCCTCTCCCTCTTCCCCTCCCCCTCCCCCTCTCCCTCTTCCCCTCTCCCTCTCCCTCTTCCCCTCCCCCTCCCCCTCCCCTCCCTGTCCCTCTCTCCCTCCTCCCCCTCTGTGTACAGGCTCGTGTATTGTGGGCTTGAGTTTCAGCTCATAAGCTCAAGGAAGTTACTGGATCCTAAGAATTCTGACCTAATCCAATGGCATTATCAGGATGTAGTAAAAAGTAGAAAGTAGGGCCTTGCAAGAGTTAATAGGTTATAGGGGGTGTACTCTGAAGACCTGATTGTCATATAATTAACAACCTCTGTCACATGTTCCTGTTGTCATGACATTCTGCTACTCTGAGCTGAGAAACAAGAGAGCCTGAACAAGCACGGACTGAAATCCCTAAAACCATGAGCCAAAACAGGTGTTTCCTCCCTTAAGTGTTTTCTCTTGGGTGTTTGTAACAATCATGTAAAGCTGTGACTAATACAATTCTCATCTCTCCTCTGAACATGCCTTCGTGGCTTTACCCTGGTATTCAAATCCTATGTGAGTGTTGAAATAGCTGCTTCAGCTCCTGTTGGCTTTCACAGATTCATCGAATACAGCTCACTCATACTACTAATTCAGGAAAAAAAATTATCACATGCAATTAGAACTAATGAAAATTTGAAAAATACCCTTGGAATATTGCTCTCTGTAACCATTGTCTGATTTAGGATATTGCATGCAGAACTCACCATGGAAGAAACATGGTATTAAATATTATGTCTACCTCCTTGTTCCTAGTTTAAATAAAAAAGGAAAGTACAGGAGTCATTTTTTAAGTTTGATTTTTTGATTTTTCCATATAAGTGAAATTTCCAAAATGGTAAATAACTATCACAGACAAACTAAAACTGGAGGGATGCTAAATGTGAGATAGAAACACGTAGTGATTATCTGTACTTCTTCTGAATCCTTGCAGACAGAAGAGGAATTGGTAGTGATGCATCTTCTTGCACCTTTCCCATAGTGAATACACTCCACTTGGAGAAAACTGGACAATAGAATCTGACCTGAAAGATGAAGTCTCTGGGTCCATGAAGAGACCACCCAGAGAAACTGCCCATCACATCCCTGTCTACAACACACAGAGGACCAGCCTTACTAAGACATTGTTATCTAATATGTCATCTTCCTGAGCTCTTTTTGCAATACACACACACACACACACACACACACACACACACACACACACCCTGGGCGGGGGGTGGGTGGGGAGGAGGTGGGTGACAAGGGAAATGAGAGGGAGAGGAGTTGATCCACTGGCATGCTTAGTCCCTGATCATTATCACTTCTACTAAACAGGTGATCATAAAGAGGCCACGTGACTGAGCCCTGGGTAAACTCTCTGCAATGGTTTGCTTGTCTTTTATAAGATCGATGGTATCTGTTAGTGGTAAGTAGAACAACACTCAGTAGAGACCTGATGCTCACAATATATGTGAGGAGCTTCCTGAGGAAACATTAAGTTTTTAAATGCATCTTCTTTTGCCTAACTTGAGAGCAGTGGCACGCAGGTGTCTGGCTCTGATACAGTTCTGTGTTTAACACGAGTCACAGGGTGAGGATGAACTTCAGAACAAATCCATGTTTCTAAAAGCTTGCTCTGCCCTAGATTCAGAGCTCTAGTCTTCATTATTTCAAAAGTGTGACACTCTCCTAATACACAGTGAGACACTGCAACTGCCTTACTAGAAGTCAGGAGGAAGGGAGGGTCACAAATGTATAGCACCTTCTTGTTCTTACTTTTAGGGCAAAGGATAGAGTGGTCTTTAGCCCTGGAACAATTTTAGCCTGGATATGAAAATTCCAGAGTGTCTAACTACTCTCCCCTTCCAAACCAACCTAAGGCTTCCTGGGGGACAACAACAGTATAGAGTGACGATATTCAGTCTCCTTGAGAACTTTGGTGCTAAGACAGTCACACTCCCTCTCATCCCCTTTGGAATGTTTTCTTTTTATGTGATTCTCTTATCTACCTGCAATCCCTTCTCCAGGCCATTATTCCCTTAATTTGTATTGTTATGGCTGGCAGCACTAAGTTAATCTACAGCAAACAACTCTACGTTTTCAGAGAAATAGACTTGCTAAGATGTTGATCTCCTTGTAATATTTTACCCATCCAAAGTCATACAGCTGTCTCTGCTCTATATCAAAGCAAACACAGTGAACTTTATGATGTAGCATTCAACCAACTTTAAGCCTTAAAGCAATGTGATTCTTCCTAAAAGTATCTCTTTTCCACCTACCCCTCAATAGGCATGTTACTTATTCCTAAACTACTATATCCTTTCTCCTTATGCCTGTACAATGGACATGTGTAGAGGGCTCCCCTTATTCAAATCTTCAGCATATACACTATTGTCGAATTGGGCAGACAGCAACAGCATGAGCTGTGGGTATTGTCGATCTCTAATGTACATTTGACTTCCAACCAATAAATGGGTGACAGAAACAAGTGAGACATTACTGTGAAAACTAAGTATATGACTGTTAGTAAGCAGGGTCTGGTGAGGCTGGTGGGAGCTGGTGGGATCTGGGCTGCCAGGTACATATATCATTTCAGGAAGATGCTATGAATCTACCATTATATGCCAAGAATCTACCATTCTAAACATACCGATGCTGGCATCAAGAGTTTAATATTATAGGTCAGGGACTTCCTTTGTCCCTTTTCTGTTTTCTAAACTTCAGAATGTTATTTTTATTTTTCATGTTTTTATGCAAATGAAATTATAAGTGGGGAGTATTGATCAGAGAAAACTCAGTTAATTTAAATATTGTGCTCTGAGTTTTAATAATGTTATTATATGTAACAAATCTACTAAGCTTGTATACTGAGTGTGTGTGTTTGTGTGTAATTAAAGATTCATTTTATGGTACCTGTTCTAGTTCAAAACCTTAAGATGCAAATTTAAGAACATAGTGATTCTGATTGAATAAAGAGGCAGAAGTCAAGGTCAGTCTTGTAGGCATTGAGATAAGTGATTCATTTAATCATATGAAAGTCTCTGGGTGCTTAGCAATGGTGGTCCTTCATTCCCAGCAACAAGGCAAAGAAGGTCTTGAGCAAGGCCAGAACTTAAGTGTAGTGGCTGCAGCTTGGAATAGAAGTATAGAGAAGCTAAAGAAGGAGAAGGGAACAATCCAGAATGGTGATTTTAAGAAGTCTAAGCAGTGTTAGAAAAGAGAGCTGAGTTCAAAGACCAAGTAGATAAGGAACCAAACACTGAGGAGCTTAAGCAGTAGAAACACATCTAGGCTGAGGAAGCTAGACTTCATAGCGTCTAAATCAATGAAAACTGGCCACGAGACTGGGGAGATGGTTCAGCAGTTAAGAGTATATACTGCCTTTCAAGAAGGCTTGAGTTTGGTTCCCTAAACCCTCCTCCAGCCTTGTTGGGCATGGCACCCAGACCTACACACATGCGTGCGAATGCACACACACACACACGCACACACACACACAAAAGCTAAAAATAAATCCTTTCTTAAAAATTAGGCTGTAAATTTTTATGATGAATATTAGCCTGGAACACCTTTGTGAGGGAAAAACCAAGTTAATGGTCCATCAACTTCTTTTTGAAGCAGAAATGCTGTTTAATTTGCATCTGCAGGTCAAATGCCAGAGTGGCATTCTTTCCCTGATTCCTTACTGATATAAAAAAAGCTGAGAGAGTCACTGTTATATTCGTTATTCTTCAACACATGCTCAATTGTTTCTCAGGTAATAAGTAAATGAATGAACAAGTCAGGCAATTTTAATATCTGGATGTAGTATCTGATACTTTGCCCCAGGTTCTTCTAATTCCAGATACTTCTCATCACGGTAATCATAGGGCTACCTCGACATGTTAATGCTTTTCCTTTTTCATGAACAATGGAAAATGAAGGTACTATGAGGTTATAAAAAGAGGGACCTTTTGTACCCCAAGACTGGCATGAAGTTGAGGTCAAGATGGTATCCTTGGGTATATGGCATCACATCTACTGGATAAGATTTCTTTCCACAGAGGACAGGAATTTAGTTGTCGGAGCATCGTCCCAAGGAGGCAACAGATATGGACACTTTTTCTTGGAGACTATGTGACTTCAGCACAAATATATCCACACACATAGTCAGCCCTGAGGATATCAGGACTACAAAGAGAAAAAAATATCATTCAGGTTCCATAGGGACTTCAGAAGTTGAGGTTTGAGGGATGGGTTCCTGGAGGCTAATGGTGATCAAGATCCCAACTTCATTTCTTGCCTCATGAACCATTTTAACTTTGCATCATCCTTTCTCTTTCTTTAACAACAGGCAAAAGAACTTGGCCAATATTTCCTGCCTCCACAGCTGAAGGTAGTAGCAGCAACTACTCCCCAGCGAGGAAGAAGAGTGGGGAGGAAGATGGATTGGGTCTGACCATCATAAACATTTTAATTGGAGGCTATGTTTTAATTGAAATACTTTTAAAATAATTCTTGTAAGAAGAATTGTGAGTAAAAGAAAAACATTGAAGTGACCAATACCAAAAAAGAGTAGTTTTCTTTCAAAACAGTTAAATCAAAATAGAGCAATCAGGGTAAAAACAAAACAAAACAAAACAAAACAAAACAAAGAAACCAAAACAACCCACTAACTTAGAACAGCCAATTGGTTGCTGTTCTTTATTAACAAAAGAGTTTGGAATCAATCTTAAGAAAAAAATAAATCATTTTATCTAAATTTCTATGAGCACTTACCAAATACAAACTCCAGATAGAGATTGTGATCATCTGGAGTTGAGCCAGATAAATACAAAAACCAAAAGATAATTTTGTTCCTAGTTAATAATTATATTAAGTTAAAAGAATAAAAACATAAGGCAAGGTGTGGCAGCAGCACAGGATAGCTGGAGAATAAATTCAGAGAACTGTCTAATAAATATGGCTCCCTCTCTTTCTTTGAACTTCACACAAATCCCCTACACCAATTCAATGTAAATGGATTTCTGTATTCTTCTGCCGCATGCCCCTATTTCATCTGCATGGTGGAATAGTGATAGACAATCCCCCCCCACCCCATGTCAAACTTCATTAATTTTGTAACAAAGATGGGATCTTAGCTGGACTCCTTAGCATCCTAAGGTTTATGGACATGGACCTTCTAACTGAATGTTGCAGTCCAGAGTGAAACTCAGTGCACGTCCCCAGTG